GATCCTCCGCTGACACTCGGTTTGTCCCTTTGCCTCTCCATGCACCCGATTCTCAAGCCCACGATGATCTGCCTCTAGTGGTGCCTCCTGTTTGTCGCTCACTGACACGCCTCTACCATCACACTAGAAAGTGGCCAAGTGTAACCACCTACTAATGCGTAGTATAGCGGGTTCATTTCTAAATGTCAACCGGGTCCTAGGTGTGATGACTACTCCGTGGAAATCTTATTATTTAGCGGTTCAAGTGTAGTGAAGGTTTAGTTAAACTAGCAAGCAAAAGCAGTGAAAGTTGTGTTCAATTTGAGAGAGGTCACCTAGATAAGGTTCCCCCTAGACTGCAGTTAAGCAGGTTGTAATTCACCAAGTTCAAGTTTAATGATAGTTATACTGCGAGAGGTTCTTAAACAGTCTGCAGTCTCGACTAAAGGTCTTCAGACCCTCTCAATCTGAGTCCCCAGCGATCGGGGATTTCCCTTTTCCGCGCCCCCTGGGCAGAAGGGCCTTCCTAGAATAAGTGGCACTTCTATGTCTTCATTGATGTCTAAGACAACAAAATCCACAGGATAACAAAACATGCCAACCTTAACCAGGAGGTCTTCCACTACACCCCTAGGATGAACCACAGATTGGTAAGCTAATTGAATACTCATCCTAGTTGCGCTGGGTTCACCTAGGCCTAGTTTTTTGCACAATTTGTATGGGATAATATTGATACTAGCACCTAGATCCGCCAGGGACCTCTCTACATGTAATTTGCCAATGGAGCACGAGATAGTGAAATTACCTGGGTCCTTCTGGTTTTCTAGAAGCTTGCTCTGTAGAATGGCCGAGCACTCCTCGCTCAGCATCACTATCGAAAAATCCCCAAGTCGCTTTTTGTTGGTAAGGAGATCCTTCATGAATTTTGCGTACTTGGGCATCTTCGATAGTGCCTCCACGAACGCCAGGCTGATGTTGACCTGCTTCAACATTGCCATGAATTTGGCAAACTCAGTCTCCAGCTTATTCTTGTGTACTCAAGTAGGGAAGGGAAGCCGGGGAATATGCTTCTTAACCACTGACTGTGGCTTGAGAGCAGGTGCTTCCTTCTCCATCCTCACTTCTTCATCGTCGGCTGGAAGTGCTGAAGCAGGTAGTGGCTCCTCCTGCCTGGCTGGGGCTAGTAGTCATGAATGCCGCCAGAATGTTTTTCAGCTCGCTTACCTGATTATCTGGAGCGGGAGCTGCAGGTGGCTCGGCACACTGGCGCTGCAGCTGTTGAAATGGTTGCCCCTATCTGGGTTGGTAAGGCTGCTGCGGAAATGGATCCTGCCTGGCCTGGAAAGGCTGCCTCTGCTGAAAACCACCTGTTGGTGCTGGGAAACCAGGTGGTTTAGTGGTATTGCTATTATTCCAGGAGAAGTTGGGATGTTGGTGCCACCCTTCATTATATGTTCCACTATAAGGATCAAGGCCCCGAGCATTGGCGATGAAGTCCAACTGCTCCTGGGGTGTAAAAGACTACCGCATGGCTTGGAAGTCTTCTACCAGATGGTTCGAACTCTCACACCACTTACATTGAGCAACTGAAGGTCCGGCCAGACCTCTGTCTGGATTAAGACTGTTGGGCTGCTTCAATGTCTGGACTAACTCGGCCACTTCCCGCTCTAGCCCGGACCTAGCCTCCATGGCGTGCACACCTCGGTCCCGGGAACTCCTGCTTCTGGTGCTTTGCCCCCAAGAGTGATCCCTGACAGCTAGAGTACTGATCATCTGATTCATCTAGGGTGGAGTCTTGGTGAGAATGTCCCCTCGTGGGCATAGAGACTCGATCACCCTCTGACTCTCTGGGGTCAGAGCGCTGTAGAAATTCCCCACTATAAATGCATCACTGAAACTGTGATGGGGGCACTGCCAGAAGAATACCGAGTACCACTCCTAGGCATCACGTAGTGACTCATCTGGATCCTAGCGGAAATGAGTAATCTCCCGCTGAATCTCCGTGGTCTTCGAGGCCGGATAGTACCTGTGCACAAACTTGTCGGCCAAGTCATCCCACGACGTGATGGAGAGTGGGGGTTGGGTCTCTAACCACCTCTTTGCATGCCCCGCCAGAGAATGGGGGAAAAGGTGGAGACGGATCGCATCATCGAGTACACCATTCATCTTGAATCCATTTGTCAGCTGCAGGAACTGGGAAAGGTGCACCCTCGCCTCCCCATCCTTCAAACCATGGAACTGGATAGAGGATGTAATCAGTTGAATCTAGCATGGCTTGATCTCAAAGTTGTTCGCTGGAATGGGCGGATAGTGGATGACGGGGCTGATGTCGGCGACCCGTGGAGTGTAGTAGTACTCCATAGTAGGACCCGGTGGCGGCGGTGGATGCTGAGCCCCATCTTCCTGGCGGACTCAGTTGTTCTCCAGGATCTGATTCGCTGGGGGAACCTGCATGGGCATTCCGAGGGGTTGGTTATGCCCCAGATTGAGGTCCCCCCTATTGTGCTCAGATGGCCGTCAACGTGCACTGCTTCCGTAGCCAGTCTCGCTCGCTGTTGTCTCCTCAGTTGGCGACATGTGCGTTCTAGCTCCGAATCTAATAGTAGTAAACCTCCCGACTAGCTACGGGTCATGCACTACCTACACACAGCCAAACAAGCAAACCCGTGAAGGCACAAGTGGGAAAAAGCAAACAATCTATGCGAAAAAAATGCTAAAGTAACAGAAATCACGTTTGTTCAACAACCTAGCCATCCCCGGCAACGAAGCCAAAAACTCGATAGGCCTCTACCGTCACACTAGAAAGTGACCAAGTTTAACCACCTATTAATGTGTAGTATAGCGGGTTCAGTTCTAAATGTCAAGTCGGGTCCTAGGTGTGATGACTACTCCGTGAAAATCTTATTATTTAGTCGTTCAAGTGTAGTGAAGGTTTAGTTAAACTAGCAAGCAAAAACAGTGAAAGTTGTGTTCAAGTTGAGATAGGTCACCCAGATATGGTTCCCCCTAGACTGCAGTTAAGCCAGGCTGCAATTTACCAAGTTCAAGTTCAATGATAGTTATACTACGGGAGGTTCTCAAACAGTCTGCAGTCTTGACTAAAGGTCTCCAAACCCTCTCAATCTGAGTCCCCAACGGGCGACTAACCTCCACCAGAGTAAACAGATTGAGGCCCTAATGAACCAAACCTCCTCTATCAAAGTAAATCCGGTACAGAATAGTGTATTCACTCCTCGACTAGAGTCGTCAACTCACTACCTTCAATCAAGGGAGCTCTATCAACCTAGGCATATATTCTCTTTCTAGGTCAAAGCAGAAATAACAGGAATTTGATCAGGATTCATGCCATTGAAGAAATAAAACCTCAATTGAATATAATCATATCACTGAATTCATACTTGGGTTTATACAATCAGACCTAACATACAAATCTAGGGTTCTTCATACTCAGATGAATGAGAAAGTTTACACCATAGAGAGAGAAGGTAAATCTAGCTCAGATGTGGAAACCATAATGTCAAGGATGGGATTCTGCTTCTGGCAATCAATCGGTACTTCTCCAAGCTCAAGTCAGGCTCCAATGGTGATGAAGATCGATCTAGGGCACTTGGAGAATCAGGTTCGTCACTCTCTCTCTCTCTAGGTATCAGCTTTGTCTCTCTAAAACTCGAAACCCTTCAAAAGTTGGCATTCTTTAATTTCCCTAAAGAATCAGCAGATCACGATCCCCGGCCATAATACCCGGTCGGGTATTTCAGGTGTCCGGCCAGGGATTTCAAAATGCACAACATCACATAGGGGATTAATACCCGGTCGTGGTCCAGAATACCCGATCGTGTATTTTTGCTCTCTCACCGGGACCCCTCCTGCCTTCTTGACGTCCAAAAACACTTTTTCCCGGCCTCTCTTAGCATTTTACCCGGCCGAGTATTTTAACTCCTGGCCGAGTATTTTGCTCTTCCAGCGCCCTTCACTCCAATGTCCTCCTTTTTGACCCGAAACTCGTTTCCTCGCCTTCACGTCAACGCCAAGTCCTGAAATATGACATAAACACACAACCTAACGTGAAATCGGCTTAAAACAAGAGAATCGACTCTCAAACGGCTCAAGAATAGAGGTATAAACATGTGCAATCAATGGCCTATCACTCACACAAGTCTACTCTTGGTCAAACTCCTCTTCGTCATCGTGATTTTGTCTGTTATCAGGTTGACCCTATCTCGATTCCTACTAAGTACTCTTAAGCCAAGGGAGATCCCAACTGGGAAAAGCCAATGCGAGAAGTAGATGATGCTCTTCACGCTCTTAACACCTGGGAATAGGTACCTCGTCCTCCATCCTCGGTGCCTGTGGTGGTTTCTCATTGGGTTTATTCTTTGAAGGTTCAACCTGATAGTTCGATGGAGCGAATCAAAGCTTGGGTTGTCGCTCAAGGGTTTACTCAAAGAGTATATGGTATAGCTCCGGTGGCTAAGATGGTTTTGATTCGGCTGTCCTTGTGGTAGTTGCGCTTCGTAGTTGGCCCTTGTTTCAATTAGACGTAAAAAATGCATTCCTTCATGGTGAGGTAAAGGAGACGGTGTACATGGAGCGTCCTCAGAGATACTCCTTGGGTACTTCTGATCAGGTTCTTTGTATGGGTTGAAGAAGGTCCCTCGGGCCTGGTTCGCCAAGTTCCATTCCACCATCACGGATCTTGGATTTCGGCAGATTGTTAATGATCACTCATGTTCACTCATTCTACGTCTTGTGGGATCGTTGTTTTGCTACTCCAATCAGGGACTGAATTACTAAATATAACCTTTATTCTTAAACTCAGCGAAACATAGATGGTAATAATATAATTGTTATGGGAAGTTGAAGATCGAGAGGAGTAATGATGTATAGTAGATGGTAATAAACATAGATGGTAATAAAATAATATAATTGTATATTAGGCAGGAAATCGAAAGTTACGTATAGATAGCTGTAGCAGGAATAGTAGTAGTAGTAATGATGTATAGTAAGCAAGACATCGAAAGTTAACGGAGGTCCTTGAACGTGATGGAACAGTCGCGGAGTTGGAAGGTAGCGCCGGTTGGGTGGTGGCAACGCGAGTTGATTTGTTCCTTAGCACTGATGAGACACGACCAGCAATCCAGCTTACCTAGCTCTCGGTAGCAAGTGGCGACACCGGTGACAGAGCCGCCGCTGTCCCGGTTAGGGTAGCTGTGATACATGACGTAGTCGTCGGCGTTGGTTTTTCTGAACATGTTCTTGGTTTCGTCCACGAAGAAGTCCATGAGATGTCCGACGTTGCTGTCGTATCTTTTGTCCGCCGACTTCCCGACGCACTCGGGCCTGCTGACCGCGGTCGTGTTGGGAAGTTTGGCTTCGACGACGAGGCTCATCATGATGGTACCCAGAACCAGAATCGCGGCGGCGCCTACCGCCATCAGTACTCCCCTACAGTGATACATTTTCCCTGCTCTTTTATGCGGTGAAAAGGGTGCTCGATCTCACCGATGACCCTAGCTAGTTTACTCTGTCGGGATATTAGGGTGAGAAAAAGTTGTAACTTGCTGGGGCTTTTTTATAACCTGAGCAGCAGAAGGGAACGTAACAAATGAAATGGGAATATGAAAAATGCATGCATGCCGGCTCTGAGATGCCTCCTCCTTCCTAAACAACGAAAAATGTAGCCCTAGGACGGCAGGGAAGTGTTTCTGCTAGCTATACCGAGACGGAAATAATGCAAGGAAAACAAAAATAGGTGTATTATTATTGGGCTTTCAAGGGATTACTGATGTCCCAAGGAGACAATTACCGTCTTTCAACTCCCTACACGTACGACAAGCAAACGCATTAATGGGGGATTTCTTTTCGTGTCGGCAGGGGATTAGGATGAAGTTGTGGACGGCGGGTTCATACGATACGAGAGACGCCCGGCATCATCTTGTTTGTCGCAACTAATTGGTAAGTAACGATATAACGTACAGATAGCTGGACGTGTATAGCGGAAAGTTGTGCACAGCAATATACTTATTTTTTTCCTCTACCCAAAGGTCGTTTTGACACAAAGAAACATCCACGTTACTTATACAACTAAAGATAGAGTAGCTAGTGATGAAGTTTTATAAAATTGAGATGTTTCACATAGAGTTCGATTGTTACAAACTGCGGTTGCATTGCAGAGAACAAATAAAGTTTGATATGCAGTGTCAAATGTTGGGTTTGGGAACCTTTGATTAATCTTCGTTTTGCCTACTTATAACCACTAGACAAAATAACAATACAATACAGAATTAAACAAACATTACAACATAGAACACTTTTACTATGCTATATAGCATTGGTGCTTTAATGTATAACTTGAAGTTGTGCCATAACATTAAATATATAAGTTTAGGTTGTACCATAAAGAAATTTGTACCATTATGTTGTGGTACAAATTTACAACTTGAAGTTGTACCATCACATAAAGGTACAAGTTCAAATTGTACCATAAAAGAATTTGTACAAAAAGTATAGGTACAATATGAAGTTGTACCATAACATTAAATGTACAATTTTAATAAAGGCAAAAACCTATAGCACCAATACTATATAGCATTGTAAAATTCCTCTACAACATAATCACTAAACTATTTATTCTTTACTGTCGAGTTCTCCAACAGATGTAGCTTGCTTGATATCCTAATCCTCTTTCTTACACGCATACCACTTGGTACTTTGCTTGACAACTTCAACTTGACAGTTAGCCTTCCTATGCCATGGAGATATTTTTCTTGGAGGGTTGTCTCATACCCTACTGGGTATGCATGTGTCTTGCTTGGTTGGTTGGATGCGAGGTGATGACTACTTAGCTGAGCGTTTCATGCCTTGCACCTAGTTAGTATCTCGTGATTGACAAGTGAGGGCTTCACGTTTAGTGGGTGTAGTGGTGACCACATTAAGTACATTGATGCTCGATGCCTTAGTGATACTCTTCCTGATCATCCTTGCATGACATCAATATGCTTGTACGGTCTTGACAAGATGGTCTACCACGTGATGGTGTGCATGCTTGACACTTATAATCTTGATTACCTTGTCAACTAGGTATCACGCTTGACAATCCATGAGGCCTACCATGCATGCTTGACTACTTGGGGGTGAGGGTGCGTGGTGCCTACCCATTGGCATGATGTTATGCTTGAGACCCTGGTGCTTGGCTGATCTACAAGGAGGATGATGAGGTTCCATATGTAGCCAATTTTTATGCTTTCATTCCTATCTGCTTGGGTTGACGGTGCATATTGCATACCCCTCGCCCCTCCGACGATGTCATTCTTGACACCCTGGTGCTTGGTAGGTGAGCGACCGACAAACCTGCAGACAACTGTGTACTTGAGTAGTTGATGTCTTATGTACTTGATACGTGAGAGGCACATCATGCTTGGCATTGTTTGAAAGGTGGTACTAGGAAGAGATACACATGCTGAACCCCCTTGCATGAGGTCATGCTTGACACCCCAGTGTTTGGCAGGTGGGTATGTGGCCTGCTTGATAGGTAAGGGGTGATAGATATTATGCTTGTCAATCCCCCTCACACAGTTTCATGCTTAAAGGTGTAGGCCATGCCGACCTCCTCTCCACTAACCCAGCTTGGATGATGTCATGCTTGATACCTCGATGCTTAGTAGGTAGGCACCCAACATACTTGATAGCTGCTTGATAGGTGACTACGTGTGATACCCATGGACAAGGAGGACAATGTCGACCCTCTGCACGGTGGCCTACTAGGGTACTTGAGGGTTAGGCAGCAAGCATTGCCGGCTTGTTCAACAGCACTCTCCTTGATTGAGGCCATTCTTAACGACTTGTATGACAATATGGGCAGACCAAAACTCCATCACTTAGGTCTAACTTAGACCAATTTAATTAATATGATTAGATTGGCGTTATAAACATAATCACTTTTGGAAATTAATCAATTTGACCCTAGTTTTTCTATGAAGTGGAGGTTCACGTTGAGGGGAGATTATAATATTGTAAGCATATATGGGTTGATGGGAAAAATACACATCCACCATTGCTATTTGAATTGGTGATATGATTCTGTTAGTTTCGATTCGACACAACTTACGGATGGGTTGTTTCTCGTACTAGATATCCAACACACAAAATAATTTTATGGAGTAACCATTGGAGAGAGATGGTAGAATTTATGGAGTAACCAATGGCTTGAACTCTGATAAACAATAGTCACCTTATTAAGTTATTATTCTTTTCATATAGCAAATTTATTGTAGTACAAACAAGGTATTGAAAAAAAGCTGAAAACAAAGACAACAACATGCATGGAACAAATTAAACGGATATGGTCACGTAAGTAGAACGTGATAGATATAGAGTGAGAAGTAGTTAAGGGATCCGGTTGAACCAGATGGAGCAATCCTGAAGCGTGATGTTACCGCTAACGGGGTTATGGCATCCAGAATACATCTTGTTCTTGGCAGTGAAGAGACACGCCCAGCAATCATTCTTACCCAGGTCCACGTAGCAAGTGGCGCCGCCCGTGGGCGAACCCGGGTTGCGATTTGGCCAACTGTGCAGGAACGTCCGATCTCCGTCTTGGTTCCTGCTTCTTGATTGCTTCGTGCCGGAGACGAACGTGTTTAGGAGATATCCCACGTTGTCGTCGTACTCCTTGCTGTCGGATTTCCCCGTGCAGTCTGGTCCGTTCATGATTGTCGTGTCGGGGAATTTGCCGTCCACGGCAACTGGGCTCCGTAATATTACATCCAGAAAAAGAAGAACAACTATCGCAGTTGCCGCGGAATGCATATTTAATTTCTCCCCCGCCCTGCTCTCACTGTGACCCTAGACGTACGATACTTCTTTTTTGCTTGTTGGTGTGTGTTTAGGGTGAGGAATGGTTGTAACCTACCAACTCCCGTTTTATAGCAAAAGTTCTACCTTGGAAGAAGCAACAAGTGTTAATTACGTACGTATCTGTAGACGGAAACCACTATAAGAAGTGGCATCAAAGGAGGACAGAACAAAAAATGCGGTGCTTTATGTGGATGCAAACTCTGCGGAGATGAAGTATCTGGATGCATAAACAAATGAGAGGAGCTTGCTGCCGAAACACTCTGAATTTTGATTTCTCAAACCTAACCCATTTTAAATATACATGAGTAAACTTTGAGCTCTCAATATTTACTTTTTCTTCGACAACGTAAAGCAACCCTAAGGACCAAAACTTGAGATCATTGAAAATTTGTTCATAATTTGATTCGATCTCCTGGTCGTTTGTTATAGTACGGACTCAAAACTGTTCCTGAAATGAGTCGCAATTCCTATGTTGAGGGTCTTTTTTTAATAACCATTCACTAAAGGTGGGAATTCGGTAAGCGTGGAAAAAAGGTTACAGTTTTGCGGTTAAACCGAAACCACATCAAATAATCGAGGTTTGCGGTTAACTAAAAAATATCTTGAAGGGGGCTTAAACGGCCGTGTTTAGGGGAATTGGCCAATTTGTGGTTTGTAGACTAACTGCTAACCACACCGAATAACAACCAAACCACATAATTATCTGCAGGCCTGTTCTAACCCAACTTTCAGCAGCCCTGCCCACCTTTTGCTCTTGCCCAACTAGAGTCCAGCAACAACCCAATACCCAGACCCAATCTGACAAATTCTTACAGTTGTTGAGGAGTCTTCCTTCTGGTTGCTTGACGTTTGATTGTTGCTGCCTTCTGTCGACTAGTGGAGACAAGAGTGGACTTGTGGATTCAATGAGTCGTAAACGAATGGACGTGGAGCACGGTACGGACAAGTTTCTTCCCAATTCCCATAGAGCACAACATCGACGAGCTTCTTTCAAGTCCCGTAGAGCATACTAGAATAGCATCGGTGAGCCGAATCCCGCAGAGCATAGCATGAGATACAGACTAAGCAGTAGCAGAGCACAACGTCCATGCGCTCCCATATACGCTCTAGGGTGTTTGGTGGAGTTGAACTCAGTGGCTGCGCCATTGGCTCGTCTCCGGGCTCATCATCATCATCATCATCATCATAACCACCATACATGAGGATTGTATGCTCGGACTTACTCACCATCATGAAGCTCAAATCCCATCTTCTTCAGGGATGTAACTGTATGGAATTCCTGTCTTGTAACTCTTAAGCCAACCTCACCACTCAAATCAACACAAAAATGCTCAAATAGCAAAGTGAGGATCATCCCATAAGGAAGATTCCTGGTTGAACTTTCTGAAATAGCAAGCATGTGTTTAGTGATCAAGTAAGGCAAGTTAACCTTCTCATGTTGAAGTAGGTTGGTGAGGAGCTCCATGTCAAAGTAGGTGACTAATTCCCAATGTTCACCCTTTGAAAGAATGTTGTAGGAGAGCATATGGTGGAGAACCAAGGCCTTAATTGTCAACTCGTGAATAGTTGGCCTACTACGATCCTGAGCATCTTCCTCTTCAGCAAGACCACATACAGTCTATATCTGCCTGGCTCTCGAGAAATGAGTTTCATTCCGAGCATTGAAGACATCGATTCTCTTCCCCTGATTTGCAGCCTCCAGTACATCTGCCAACACCCTTTTGGTGATACGCATCTCTACCCCATTCACAAAGCTTTTAAAAGCATAAATGGAGCCACCTACAGCATGCTGAAATGTGATGTTATTGTAGAAGTACTGTACCATTATTGGGTAGTATGGTACATTGAAGCTTATGACCTTGATCCATTCTTGCTCCACAAACGCCTCAAATAACCTGTAGTTTTCGAATTGGATATAAGCTTCAGGCATCAAAGGTCTTCCAGGAGCAACCTTGCGGTACTGCATTTTGTTCTCTTCATATTTGTCGCTTTGAATTTTGGTCTCAAACAATGCAGGATTGAACTCTTCCCATTCAGAAGCTGATGAGGCAGCAGCTTTGTCTCACTTTCTTTTCTTTTTTCCTTGAAATATCCCGAGAACAAAGAAACACTTGTTCACATCAGCCAAAGGACAACTAATTCGCTCGACCTCACTGTATATAGGTCGACCTCATTGTACCAAGCAGAAGCACAAGACTACAAACATGGTCGACTTCCCATAAACTAGGTCGACCTCCCTGTACCAAGCATAAGCAAAAACAAAAAAAAAAAACAAAAAAAATCCACAAACTAGTCCAATAGTGAGATTATAACTACTGACGACGATACATTTGTAGCAAATAGCGTGACCAAATTTCATTTGTGACGCCATTACACTTCTAGTGATGACCACGCAAAACAATTCATCCAAACAAAGTTAGGCATAGATTATAATATTCCAAAATTGACTTAGATTAATTGTCTTACAAGTAGCCATCAGCTACGACCAAACATCGAAAATTCAAAAGTCTAAATATCCTCCGAAAATGACACAAAATATCCCAAATATCAAGCCATACTTAGAATCCTACGGTATCATTAAAAGAAATTCATGCAGCATCAGCAGTCTCGTCGGCAGTCTCCTCACCAGACTCGTCATCGGACTCATCGTTATCCTGAGTTTCGCCAACTCGACCATGTTCCCCATTGGCTTCACTGTTGATATCCAACAGAGAATATAACAAGTATATTAACTTAAAGGCCCATATTACATAGCTTCGAAAATTATGTAAGGAGTTCAAAAGAAAACATGGCAGCAAAGTAGTTCAAGCCTAATATTACTCATTGTTATCCGTGAACTGAGCCCGATCCCTGTATAAAATGTGAGCTGAAAGGAAGAGAGAAGAGGGAGCACAAGTGCGAGAAAGTGTCTTCTTCTTCAGATTTTAGAGAGAGAAAGAACAAACCAAAGAAGGAAGAAGACTATGGTTTGTTCCAAGTGGTGAATTGGGAAGAATCTCCCCAAGAGAAGATCAACACAAGCTTAAAGAAGATTGGAGGCTTCGCCACGATGGTTTCTACCTCTTTCCCTTGTGTTCTTCCCCTTTCTATCATTGAGTAGTTTCCTTTTTCACTTGGGTGTTGTGAAATCCTAACTATTTGCCATGTAGTTGTTATGTGGATTGAATGATTGTTTATGGTCGTTGTTTAATTTAATGAATGAGGTATTTTTCATGATGGTTGTGCATGTTTATGCTTGGCAATCCAATTGACCATTCTAACCTAGGTTAGAGGGAAAACCCCCCTTTCAAAGGAGACCCAATTGAGTTGGGATTCCTTGGCCTTTTCAAGCCACCTACCTAGATTAATGCAGGGAAACCCTCTATCTTGAATTAAACAACGAGGTTAAGTGCGATTAAGCCGTCCAACCATTGGGTTGAGTGAGTGAGTAAGTCAACCCTCGATTGCCTTAACCAAGAGGGCTACTTGAGTAGCCTATAATGCATCCCTTGGTTTGGCAATCGAGAGTGTGGTCTACGACGACTGTTGCATTTCCTAGCGGTTCGCAGTCACCTTGCCCATAACGGTTCATTCAATTCCACGTGCCATGTTAGTAGTTAGGGGAAAGCGACACTCGAGTGATCCTTCTCATATAGAGCTTTCAAGCCCATTTACTTTTGCTTTGCTTTACTTTAATTCTCAAACTTTTCAACCAAAACCAATCCGCTAGATAATGTTTCAAACAATTGAAGTAGGTGTACATGGACCAGCCCGTGTTGATATTTAAACATATTTGCCCTATATTGCACCCTACTAAGGTTTATACTTTGGCCTTAGGTGGGAATTAGTTGTGATACTAGGGACGAGTCAATTTTTTGGCGCCGTTGCCGGGGACTTCAATCCGTTATCATGAAAAAGTTGTTTGGTGTTAATCTAGCTTTTAATTTCCAGTTTCGAAAGTGTTAGTGCTTTGCTTGTGCTAGACTTGGTGTTGTTTTCTAAGTGTGTGTAGGGAGGTTTTCTAAGTGTGTAGGGAGGTTTTTGGCGCCCAAGCTTGCAACCTAAATGATGCGGCGGCAGAAGAGGAAGCCTCGATGACAATGGAGTATTATATGACCCCATGGCCGGCGGACATTCAATAGCCAATCTTGCACCGGTCCGTGGCGGCCAACAATTTCGAGATCAAGCCGGTCCTCGTGACCATGATTCAGAACAATGCTTTGTTCCATGGGCACGCAATCGAGTCACTGAGGGAACATTTGCAAAGATTCCTTGAGCTCGCGGGGAGTTTGAAGATCAATGGCATGTCGGTGGGAGCTTTGCACCTGAGTCTTTTCCCCTACTCACTTTCGGGGAGGGCACTCCAGTGGCTTAACAACTGACTGTCTCTTTCAATCACCTTGTGGGATGATCTTCTCAACAAATTCATGACCCGCTACTGCCCGCCTTAGAAGACGGCCAAGTGGAGAAACAAAAACACCCATTTCGAGCAACAAGAAGATGAGACCTTGAGAGATGCTTGGGAAATATTCTCCGAATACTTCCTTCAATGCCCTCACCATTAGTTCGAGGAGTAATTTCAGATTGAAACTTTCTACAGTGGACTTATCCAAGAAGACAAGATTCTCATTGACTCTCTTTGTCAAGGGAAATTGATGAATATAACCCCACCTCAAGTGACCGAGTTGCTCGAAGACATGGCCCTCAAAGGATACGATTTCGCTTGACGAGAAGTGGGAAGAGAAGCAATATAGAGGAGTGAGAAGTGTGGGAGCAAGCACTCCACTTGAAGCGAAGCTTGACAAGTTGATCGAGGTAATTCTTGAGGATAAGAAGCAAGGGAAGAGAGCGGTGATGTCTTGTGATTGTTGTTCAAGCACTAACCATGAGATGGCGGAGTGCCAAGCAATTAAGGAGGCAAACACTCCGAAGGAACAAGTCAATTTCGTGGCAAACGCTAGGGCTAATAACCCGTATAGCAATACTTATTATCCCGGATGGAGGAATCATCCTAATTTTGCTTGGTCATCCCTGACTAATCTGTGACCCCGGGATTTCAAGGCCCCACGACAATTATCAACCTCGACCAACCTTCATCCAAAAAAGGCCTCAAGTCAAAAACTTGAGCTTCCAACAACCTTACCAAGCACAAGGTGGTCAAGGGTTTCAACAACAACAACCCGACAAGTTATCCAAACTTGAAGACCTAGTGAACACCTTTGTGAGCATGAGTGTTCGAAAGTTCGAGAAGATTGAGCAATTTATGGATGTGGAGACTACCAAGTTTACCTCAGTTATGAGATGCAAATCGGCAATCTTGTCGGGATCTTCACCAAAAGATCAAAGGGAGCTCTATCTTCCCAAACTGTGGCAAACCCCAAGGATCATGCCGGTGTGAATGCAATTCAATTGAGAAGTAGGAAGGTGACTCTGGGAGTTGTCGCCAAAGAAGTGATTGAAAAGGAAGATTCCAACCCGAAGGATGGAGATGAAGAGCCCTCGAGGGGAGAGAAAGAAGTGGCAAGGAAGGAACCACTGACATCATCTCCAGTGGTTGAGTGCAAGCCACCCCTTCCTTTTCCCACGAGGATGTACAAGGAGAGGTTGGAAAACGAGTGTGGAGGTTTCATGGAAATGTTCCCAAACCTCCACCTCAATGTCCCTTTCCTTGAGGCCATGGCTCACATGCCAAGATATGAAAAGTATCTCAAAGGATTCCTCACCAGGAAATCAAAATTAGAAGGCCTCGTCAACGTGAATCATGGCGAGGAGTGCTCGGCTTTCTTGCTTAACCGCTTGCCAAAAAAGCGGTATGACCCAGTTAGCTTTACTATCCCTCTTAGTATTGGTAACCATCACATAGGAAATGCCTTGGCCGATATAGGAGCTACTGTTAATGTGATGCCCTATAAGCTTTTCAAAAAGTTAGAAGTAGGTGAACTCAAGACCACTAAGCTTAGCATCACTTTAGCCGACCGTTCGGTCATTAGCCCGAGAGGCATCGTGGAGGACATGTTAGTGCGAGTGGGCAAGTTTTGCTATCCAACGGATTTTGTGATCCTCGATATAAGTGAAGACTCTAACATGCCACTCATTCTAGGTAGTCCCTTCCTCGCCACCGCCAAGGCATTGATAGATGTTAATGAGGGGACCTTAATCCTGAGGGATGGTGAGGAGAGAATCACTCTTGAGAGTGAACCTAAGGCTGCAAGTGAGGATGTAAAGGAATTGGTGCCGGATGATTTGAATGTGAGTGGAGGAGAGCCTCTAAAGGAAAACCCCACTATTACTTGTGTTGCTTGTGGTGATATTAAGCAAGAAGTCAAGGAGGGCACTAAGCCCAAAGAAAGGAAAAAGAGAGCTTTGAGGGAAAAGATGAAGCACGTTTTGGCCCGAAAGAAGGAGAAGGGTGAAGCTAAGGTCGTCGGCCAAGAAGGCCACATCATGGAGCTTAAGTTGGGAGGCTACATGCCTCTCCTCGCGAGCGTGGTGATTGATCCTCAACCATCAAGCTAATGACGATAACTTAGCGCTTGTTGGGAGGCAATCCAATTGAGGTTTGTTTTCTTTTCCTTATTTTTCGTTTTTGTGTCTAGTGAAGGGTTCAAGTGGTCGTGTGGTATCCCCATGCAAATTTTTGTGGTTTTGCGTTTTAAGGTTGTGTTGTGATCGTTAGGAGGCACGCTTGAATAGGTCGAGTCAAATGTTTTTCAGGAATGCCCTGTTTTCACTTCAGTTCACAGACAGATTGCTGTGTTCACGGACTTACAAGACCGTGAACAGGCAAACGCGTCCGGGAACCAGTCACTTCTGCATGTGCACCACCTGTCGACCAACCCAAGTTCACAGACGGATTTGAGTGTTCACGGTCTCTAAGACCGTGAACAAGCCAATGTGTCCGTGAACTGTGTGCTTCGCCTATAAAAGGGGTGTGAACGGTGACTCTTCACTTCACGACAGAAAACTCGCCGAAAAATTTGAATTCTCGCCGGAAAACCGCGAAAATCCGACGATTTTTCATTTTCACCCATTTCCGGAGAGCAAAACCCAATACCAACTGCATACCCATTCTCCCCTCTTCAATACCGGCCTGTGCTGAGATTTTGGGGAGATTTGGGGCATTTTTCCTCCGGCAAAGTCGCCGGCGGCGAGTCTCTGACGAGCTTCCGACGAAGCTACGGCGACCACTCTCTAGAATGCTTTTCGGCCGTTATTCACCTTCCTCGCCTGCACCTCACTTCCTCCTACGTCCTACTTGAGTCTCCAGGTTGGTTTTTCAGCTCTACCTTATTTATTTTGGGAGAATCAGATTAGGTAGGGAAGTGAGGATAATTTTTAGTGCCTTGAATGTTGAATCTAGAATTAGGGCGAGGAATTAGGTGAATTAGGTTGATTGAATGGTGAATTGATGTTGCATGAGCCTAGTTGAGCCCTGGTGGGAATGTTTGATTCATATTGCTTTCCTTTGTACAAAGTGCCAACCAAGTGTTATTTTGTGCATGAATGCTTGCGTGGTCGATGGCAGCCACTGTGGCATGGGTTGGGGTTCGAATTTTTTGTATGGATGAACCATGAAATACCCGCAACCATACCATGGTGTGTTTGAGCTTAAATGTTTGCAATCCGTAGTGGAAATATAAGCGTCGAAGGAATTTCTTTTCCTCCCAATGACACATATGACGATAACGGAGCGACAGTACACCGTCGACTTCCACTACCAGGCAGCATTCCGGGCCCTCTGCCACCCCTAGCATGAGCATGAGGAATTTGAGAGGATCCGTACAATTGCGGTGAAGCTGAGGATCCCTTGGAGGATCCTCAACACCTTGCTTACCCGATCGGTCATCCCCAGCCTGCAGTCAGGCCATCTGATGACGAACAGAGGTCTACTTGCTCTCTATTCCATGAGGATTCCAGCAGAGCCGACCCATCTAGGATCACTGATTGCCACCTCTTTCGCCCAGTGTCTGGAGCGGAACAGGGTGGACACCATGCACATGGGGGACATCATCATGAGGATTGCCCTACATTTCCACATGGACTTTACGCGGTGCTCCATTGTCGCGAGGACGGAGCCCTTCCTAGTGGCAAACCTGTATAACCAGAGGCTGGTACTCCATGGAGATTGATGTCTTGAGTACTTCGATGGAATCCGACCATCAGGAGTCATGAGAGCAGCAGTTGACCAGGCTCAAATGGAGCCCGATCCCGAGGTCCCACCTCCAGAGCATCGAGCCTCCGTCGGCGTCCTATGCTCCAGCTCCTTGCACATCCACCACCACCAGCAGCAGCACCAAAAAGTGATCCACTCCTCGAGAGGGTGGATCGCCTCGAGACGAGCTTTGTGGGAGTGACTTCCCACCTCGACCGGCAGACCGACTTCCTCGAGCTGATGGCTCGATGCCAGGGCCTCCTTCCCGATGACGGAGATGGTCCTTCCACCCACGAGAGGTAGCCAACGAGTGCGACATGTGGCAGAGCCGATTTCTTTTTCCCCACTTCTCCACTTGGAACTCTGAACTTGTTTTGTTATTTGTTTTTATTTTGTGTGTTGTGACCATGAACTACTACTATCGTATCGTCAATTGTGTTTTGTAACAGCCTCGCCTCGTATTATGTTTGTATGTGTGTGTTTTTTTTTTGTCTCTCCTTGAAGCACCAAATCTCCTACCCCGGAAACAAGCATGTCGCGAGAATTCTGCTATATTCAAGAGGAGCATCAATGTGACTTGGATTACATTCTCAGAGTATCCGACATCAGAGCTGCAGACTCTGATAGCTCATTTCAAGGAGTCAGGATTCACTTACACTGCTTCAGAAGAGACGTTCAACGAAATGGTCAAACAACACACGAAGTACAAGGATATGAATAATAGAATGAACCATCCACCACCCCAGATAAATCCATCAATCTGGAGGGAAATGGTTCAGAAATAGGCTAACCCGAATTGGATGGTAATTCTTGTATGCAACATTCTGTTCTTTCTTAGTAATATGATTTACAAAGTGAGCTGAATTTTGTTTTGTTTTCATTGGGAAGGAAATAAGTGATAAGAACAAAGATAATCAGGAGATGAGTGAGCTTGCAGCCACTGGCGGTTCAACACCTTTGGCCAAGTACAGACATGAGGAGGTAAGCTGCTGCACTTGTAAATGTGTATGCTATGCTTCAATTGTAATCAATTTACATGTGTTAATGCAACGTTTTGGCGTTAATTGTTTGATAGATAAAACAAACTGGAAAAGAACCTGATCCGATCGAAATGTTCAAACGGTTCCATGTGAAGAAGGACAAACATTGGGTTAGCTCAATGGCAAAAGACCTGTATGTAAGTTCAATACTGTTGGCTGCTTTTTGCAACAGTACCTGCTGTCTTTTTTATATCGATGTTAGATGTATTTACCAATCATTAGGATGTTTTTTGTACTAGATTTTGCTATCTTTTTTTACCGATATTAATGTTATTCACCATATGATTAGGATGGTATGATAGAAGCAGGAGCTGAAAAGGTATCCCAAGGGGAAGAACCAAAGAGATTTGCCATCAATCAAGAAGTGATAGGACCACAACTCCCCAAGTGTGTTCTAGGGATGGGACATGGGGTGAGCTCGGTTGATGTCTTCGGCTCCCCATCAAGTTAGAGTTGCATCAAGCGTTGTCAGGAGGATCGAACGAAAGAAAGGGAAAAAATGATGAAAAAATGAGGAGGTTGGAGAATAAGATTGTAGATGTGAGGAATGCGGTCCCTCACATCGTTGAATCTGTGTTGTAGAGACTTGGAGTGCGGTTGCCAGAGTCATTCGACATGGTAACTACTTTGTTGCCATGTTTTCTTTTGAACTCCTTACATAATTTTCGAAACTATGTAATATGGGCATTTAAATTAATATACTTGTTATATTCTCTGTAGGATATCAACAGGTGAAGCCAATGGGGAACATGGTTGAGTTGGCGAAACTCAGGATAACGATGAGCCCGACAACGAGTCTGATGAGGAGACTGTCGACAAGACTGCTGCTGCATGAATTTCTTTTAATGATATCGTAGGATTCTAAGTATGGCTTGAAATTTGGGATATTTTGTATAATTTTCGGAGGATATTAAGACTTTTGAATTTTGGATGTTTGTTCGTAGCTGATGTCTACTTGTAAGACAGTTAATCTAAGTAAATTTCGAAATATTATCATCTATGCATTTCTTCGTTTGGCGTCACAAATGAAATTTGGTCACGCTATTTGCTACAAATGTATTGTCGTCAGTAGTTATAATCTCACTATTAACAATAAGAAAGCATCATTAGTAAATATAATTTCTCCGACGACACGTTGGAACAGCTTATTTTTCACGATAAATATAATTTCTCCACCGACACGTTGGAAAAGTTTTTTTTACGATGAACATTTGTCCTCGGAAATAAAATTTCTCCGACGATTCTTTGGCAAAAACTTAGTTTTAACGAAAACTTGTTGGCATCAGTAAAAGTAATATTTTTGACGGATCGTCAAAAATTGATTCGGGCTTAATTGCACATATTTTCCCCCGGTTTGCTTAGATGTTGGTGCCAAATTCGCTCATTAGAGGTTGGTTTTATGCGAGGTTCTTCGTGTTTGGGTACTTTTCAGGATTTAACAGGTGGAACCAGCCACGGATTCGAAGAATTGGCGAAAAGGATCGAAAACCGGGAGAAGAGATGAAAAAGCGCAAATTCACGGCTAAAGGCAGGAGTTCACGTTCGTGCAAGACCGTGAAGAATGGGAGTTGACAGTGAAGCGCAAGGCGTCAAGAGCCAAGTTGAAGGTTACTAACTCGCCTTGCTTGTGAACTAACGTGAGCGAGGCAGAGCGTTTTGGCGCAAGGCTTGAGTTCACGGAGGCGTTTGATGGTTCACGGCCGTGAACTCAGGCCGTGAACTGAGCTCTTCTCGTGTTTCAAAGCTGAGATGCAAGGAAGAGAGAGGGGGGAGCCACTTTGTGAGAGAAACACCTTCTTTTGCATTTTAGTGAGAGAAACAGAACCAAAGAGAAGAAGAGGTTAGGGCTTGGCTTCAAAGGAGGTTTTGGGAAGATTTCACCAAGGAAATCCCAACTCAAGGTGGAAGAAGAGAGGAGGCATCCCCTAGCGATGGTTTCCACCTTTTCCCCTTTTGTTCTTCCCACTTCTTCCATGGAGTAGTCCTCCTTTCATTTGGGTGTAGTGAAACCCTAACTCTACCATGTAGTTTTCTTGTATGTGGGATAGATGATTGATATTGGGTATTGTTCAATTTAATGTTTGACGCATTATTCACCAGGATTTTGCATGCTTGAGCTTAGAAACTTAGGGGTTGTGCATATGTTGTGCTTAGCATCCTAGGGATTGTGCATAATTGTGCTTAGCACCCCTATGTTTGTGAATTTAGGTGCTAGTAACCTAATTTGGCAACTTAGCCTAGTTTAGAGAGGAAAATTCCCCTTTTTAAGGGAGACTCAATCGAGTTGGTTTTCCTTCCGCTTTTCAAGCCACCTAAACTAGGTTGAGTTAGGGAAACCCTAAATATTGAATTGAACAAGTCGATTAATCGTGGTTTAACCGTCCGACCTTAGAATTGAGTGAGGGAGTAAGCCGATTACCGACTGTCTAAACCGAGAGGGTCGAGTGACACAACCTTTCATCCTCACCTCGGTTTAGCAATCGAGACTGTGGTCTCCGACCACATACGCTTTCCTCTGCGATTCACGATTAACGTGCCCAAGGAAATCGTTCAAACCCAAGTGACTTCCCCACAAAATAGTTTTCAAACCAAAGTACCTTTGTTTTCTTTCGTTTCAATTGGCAAACCTTTAAATCAAAGTTTTATCGCTAGATAATGATTTCAACAACCGAAGTACGGCTAGTCAGAACTTATAGTTTACGTACCAAGAAAAAGCATAAAAAATAAATAAATTTGCCGTAAAAAACCCCGTCAAATTCATCCGTCACGAGTGATTTCATTTGTTACGCCACTTATTTATTACTAACAAATCTATGTCGTCGATAATAATTTATTTTAGACAAATGTTCAGTAATATTTTATTAGCGATGGGACAATTTCTGACGACATCCGAAGACTGTATGTCATCGTAAAATATCTTTTCGGACGTAAATTTATTACTTACGACGAAAAAGTGTCGTAAAAAAATGACTGTCTTTTTTTTAGTGCATAGATATTAATATATATCACTAATGGAGATGAAGACATTAATATTGGTGCAGATGATGATATTGCTCATGATGGACGAAGTGCAAACAAATAAAAAAAAATGTGCAGTGATCCCTACGATGTGGAGTAAATAGAATGATGAGTTTAAAATGTCATTAGGAGTTGGTTCGAGTTTGTCTTTCATTTTTTGTAAAATGATTTAGTCTATGAGTCAGTTAATATGACAAAAAATAATATAATATTGATCATTTTAAATTGTTTAAGTACTTTAATAATTTGAATTCGTTTATTCTACCAATCAATTTAATGTTTCAAGTGGCTGCCAAATGATGCTCTCGTCCGCTCCTGGACTATGAAGTCCGTCGATCCAACCATCGTCTTGGGTATCCATTTTATCCCTACGACTATTGATACTAGCTTATAACCCCGCCCATTGGCCGGAGTGTTCATATTTTATTATTTGTATTTTTATATTATGTTTAAGCAAATCAACCGATTTAAGATGATACATAAAGAAAGAATATATAGGTCTAACATTCGAAGATATACCATCATCATTTAAGAATATAAAATATAAAATGTATCATTAATTCCATTTTCATAATGATAATTAAGCCCTCGTTAAAATGCTATTGGTTAGTTGGTTGTCAAGGAAGAGGGTATAAAAACTCAGTGAAATTCCACACGACCCATAGATAATTTGAAACTAAATCTTAAACCTCACAATCCTAAATAAGGGTTTAACGCGCTCTTTTTATGAACAATATGTCACTAATAAAAAAGAAATGGAGAGTTGTTGATTCAAGTCAACTATATACTAACAACTCAGGTAAGAGGGGACCATCAGAACTTGAGAGCAAACGGCAAAATTAGGGTTATCTCCAACATACTAATAGACTCAATCAAAGTAATAAGGCACAAAAGTAGATACTCATTGTCTATCAGTTCTAGTAGGTTGAATAAAGAATTGACCTACTTCAATAAATCAATCAATGATTCCACGTTTTAAGATAAAAATAGGTTGTGATAGATGTAAAAACCATAAACATAAAGATCCAATAGCCACCACTCTTCGTTGTACAACCAATTTTTTTTTTATATCAAGAGACCTATGTTTCAACCAAAAATTCAATTTATAATCCTCCTTCTGCAACTCCATTATTTATTAAACTCTTTTACTTGCCCAACTTAAATCCCCAACAATAAAACCGACGTGCCAAGAGATTTCGGATGATTGATTTTCAAAGGCGGCCTTGTACTGGGAAGTGAAACTATTGTACGATGGAGGGAATTTCCGAGGAAATTAGAAAGAGATAAGAACAAAGATAAAAACCACAAAATTTAAATTGAAAAATGCAAGGACACAACACGTAGTGACAAAATTAGTTTTTTCCATGTTAGCCAATTACCAATTTACCTTTAGCAAAAATTAAGGAGAGAGAAAGAATTTTAAAATTGAGAAAATTACATGAAAATGGTTGTGATTGTTATCTTTGTTTGAAGAGACCCGAGTTCAAATCCTGATGTTAATATTTTTTATGTGAGATAAATAATTAATTGTAAAGACAAAAATGTCCTTCCTACTTTCATTCTCGTTGCAGAAAATTTGACTTGGAGAAAAGTACACAAAAGTGTACTATATATTACTGTGGATGTGGAGGTCTTTGGCCAAGACCAACTCCGCTACGAGTGTTGTTCGTGTAAACTCCTTTCCCGGCGATTCCAAGGATTATTGCAAGAACTTAGTAATGAAAAAATAAAAATAAAAAGAAGACTAAATTAAATAAATGAAAAAAAGAACAGGGCCACTGAGGCTTACGCTTGCCTGTCTGTGGTGGCGAGGCAGAGACTCTTGCTCATTGTTTTTTGGATTATCGGATTGCTTTGGAGTTGTGGGATTTGTTGGGGTACAACCATATTCTTGCTCAAATTCGCTTGTGCCATGTTGCGATTGGTTGGCGTAGGCTATTTTTTGATGCAGGTTTATCCAAAGTAGAGATTTCACGGTTGGTTTTTCTTTACTGGAGGATCTGGAAGACCCGACGCTCGACTACTTATGATGGTTTTCAGTATCTCTCTCATGTTTCATCACGACATTATTACTCTCAGGTTGCTGAATGGGAGCTAGCACAAGCGCATCCAAAGAGATCTTTGCCTCGGCGTTCTCCTGCTACTAGTGGGGTTTTACCACGTGATCACTCCCCTCCATCCATACCTTCTGGTTCAGTGTTGGCACACTTTGATGGCGCCACCAAATCTTTGGTCGGATGTGCCACTGGTTTTGTTGGTTTTGCAGAGGCTAATACCACTATATTTGCTTGGGGGCGTTTTATTCCTAATATTGATGACCCATTCTTCGCAGAGCTCCTGGCTCTTCGCGACTTGGCCATATCATGACAAGACAAGCCCTTGGAGTGATGGTGCAGATACTTGTCGACCATCGTGTTTTATTTATTTAATTTTCCTAACCTGGTCTTAGGAGAACTTGTATTTTGTCGTATCTTTGCTGCTTCCCTCTCGGGATAACTTTGGGGGAAAAAAAGAAGACAAAGTGTTCTACTTCGCCAAGTAAGCTTCACTTGCGGTTGGGCTTTATTTAAAGGCAAGGCCCAATAACAATCGTTGAAGCAAAATGGCGGGCTTATTTAAAACCAGGAGCTCGTCCGAAATGGGGCTGTTGGGAACAAAACAAAGAAGGGTCTCTGTTTTCCCAGAGCTTCGAACAGAGTCGTGGGAATAAAAAAACAAGTAAATGAAAGTGCAGAAACGTAAATGGAAGCCGTGATTTTAACGTGGTTCGGCCAAGGATGGTTTTACTCCACGTCCCAGAACCAACACCGCTGATTCTAGGAGACTCTGTTTTTATTGATTTTGATTTCTCAAGATAAGAAGGAGAAGAAGAAGACTCGATGATGGATGGTGATTTTTCCGTAACCCAAACCCAGGTCCCGTACAACCTCAATCAATCAGAACCTCTACCTCTGATTGATGTGCCCTTTTGCAAACCAAGCCCTCTACCGCTTCCTCT